TTTTTTTCATTGTGTACTCATTTTGATCCTTTTCGGTAATGTCAAAGGATTTTACGTAGTTCATACGGTCATTTAGTTAAAAGGAAAAAAAAGCACTGAAAATTACACTTTGCCACACTTTTTCAATTTAGAGTATTTGATATTTTTATTTTCCAACAGAGATGAATGGGGTGATGCCCGTCTTTTGCATTATGTTCCTCGTTTTCGTCTCTTTAAAGAAAAAGAATTAAATGCATTAAACGTGTCCAAATCCTTACTGTGTCCACCTTATTACTGTGTCCACACTCTTTGTTTCAACACTTGCCCAATTGTTCCGCGCTTTCGCTGGTATCTTCTAGTAATTATAATTCGAAATACTTTGTTTGCTTGTGACAATGGTGTTCGACAAGGAGTAAACTTATCACCTTTTCTATTTTCTTTACTTTTGATTGACTAAAAAAAATTCTTAGTGAGTAAAAATATTACAGGACTTAACAGAACTATACCAGAAGATCTGGAAAGAGAATTAGAAATATATCTTAAATTTTTTATACCTCCTGACTAAAGACTTTTGAAACCTCTCTCTCTTGTTTTGTATATATTGTAAAGTTATTATTGTTATCTCTGTACTGATGTCATACATTGACTTTATGAGAATAAAAATATAGATTTAGAGGCCATAATTATACCGGTATGGATGATTGATTGATTAATTTGTTGATTGATTTATATTTACCGCCACTTTCAACACTTTCATGCTATTTCGTGGCGGTGAGTTTATATTGGTGGAGGAAGCCGAAGTTCCCAGAGAGACCACCCAACCTTCGTTTGGAAAACTGACAATTCTGGTCAATTAAGATAGGAGTTGAGCTTACCCGCCACATGCGGTATTCGAGCTCACACACCTAAGTGTCGACAGACAAGTGATACAGTAGTTCGACAATTCACACCACTCGACCAGCGAGCTCCCATCTCTTTCATCCGAAATGCTTTAAAGGAGATATGGAATGAACTTCAACTCGGTGTTTTTCATTTGCTTTCAGCTTTTTATTATGTTTTTATTTTGTGCATATATTTCACAACTTTAATATAGATGGTTATGGATGGATGCTTGATGTGCAGCGGCAAATTGATATGCATATTCGTACAAGAACATGTTACAGCTATTTTCCTGATGTATGTAGTTTAAAGGAATGGTTGGCTTGCTTGCTTTGTTTGTATAATTGTTTGTTCAAGCATTCAATAACATCATACAAGCTGAAACCCAGCCTATCTGTTGATTAGAATTGTAAAACTTAATTAAAATGCATGAGCAAACAGTTATAAAAACAAAGCAATCAAGCCAATAAAACCTTTAAACTACATGCAATAGGAAAATAGCTGTAATGTGATATGAATATTAACCCTGCTTTGTACTAGACCGACACCCTGAGCCGGATTTTAACATGCTAGTTCACAAGGTAACTTTCCGAAGGAAGACATATCACCTTACCCGGACAAATTCTTCTGATTCCGAGCCGACCAGCTTTTGCTCTTATTCCTTAATTTCGCGGGCTTAGCAGGGAAGCAGCAAATATCAATTTGAAAGTCTTTGGATTTGACCCGGCCGGGGGTCGAACCCATGACCTCTCCCACTCTATGCGAACATGCTACCACGAAAGCACCACCACATGCAGTAACCCGCAATATAAAAGGTTTTGTGGGAAGCCGCTCATTTTTTGGTGAGGGGGGTGGGGGCAACATTTTTGGAAAATGTTTGATTCCAAATTTCTTGAAAGAGATTTTATATTTTCAGAAGGGGAGCGAAATAGTTTGTTTCCATTTTAAATCAGGGAAAAATAAAACAATAATGAAATTAAAAAAAAAATAACCATGTTCTTTTTTTATTAAAGTCCATCAAGGAAATACACGTGCTCCTACCCACACTACAGTCGGTGTCTAACAAATGATTAATATATAATGTACAGATCATCTGTCTAAGCTTTGGTTACAAGGATCTGACAACACTTCGTTTTACTTTCTGTCCTGGTTAATATTACATCAGCCAATAAAATTTCAGCCTTCATATTTTTGAAGGTGTGGATCAATCCGACAAAACCAGAGAATCCCAATGGTCTTGAATTGAGCGTTTTCAGATCGGCGTAAGCAAAGCTTGAACACACAATACCTGTAATCTAATCAGATTGGTGTCTAAATGAACTTAAACATTGCATTTATTTATTGTTTACTGAGACCTGTTGTTCTCTTACAGATAGAGAGTTGTATTTTGAATTTTTCAAAGTGAAGATTTACGGCAGCGGCTTTTAATATTTTGCGTTTATCCTGGAAACTATAATAGATTTAAAAAAAACAAATAGCGCAATGTTTCTGAGTAAACTCTATAGTAAAGGTCCTTTTTGGGCAATTTTGAGTTTTGTTGTTTTATTGGCTATTATCTTGATAACTTATCTATAGAGAAACCTTTTCTTGAAAACTGGTATAGACAAGAACAGATATAATCAAAGTAGTGAAGTACTGATCATCGGATGACCTCAAATTCTTGTGGATGGTCACAAGCACTTGTCCCAGAAAAAAATCATATCTGTACCTGAAAGTAATGTTAATGTACAGAGATATATTTTTTTTCTGAGACAAGTTCGTGCGTGGATGATGAATAAATGTTCGGGAATTCAACCTCACCGTAATAACTATTATATTGTAGTGGTACAAAATATATATTATTAATCTGTGATCTAAAAAAAAAATTTTATGAGTATTCATTGAAGAAATAAACTTATAACAAGCGATAAGGAATGTAATTTTGCACTCTTTAATGTCCGTATTTATAAATCGGTAACCAGTCAAAAACGAAAGCTACGTAAGTAGAAATCTCTTTGGTAACAATATATCGGAATGTTAAAATAAATAAATATGTAATAAGTATGGTAATTTTCTTTCATTGGGGGTGGGGACGTGTGAGGAAACAGTGGAATTTCTCTTATTTTTTTTCAAGTCTACACCTTGAAGAAGGAAAAACAGTCAATAAATACCCCCTTTTCCAAAGACCTACAAATTTCACCCCCTCCCCCTCTTCCCAAAAAAAGCCACCACCGGACATTTACACACAAACGCACATACACACATTTTCAATACTTTTGTTCGTAATAACAAAAAAATCGTATTAAGTTTCTAAATGCAGTATAAGTTTAAAATATTGCGTCAGTAGTGAATCTAGAACTTCAAGTGTGGAAGTTGTTTGCGACTTCACGAACTCAATTTAGATTTGCCGGTTATGGTCTCATTAATATTTACCACACCTTCATTCGATATTAGCTTCAGATGAAAAATTTTCTGCTAGTGAAATTGTTGAAACTAAGGATTCAGGTTTTAACAATTGAGGCGAGCGGAACCAGGCGTAAAAATTGATGCCTACGGATTTTGAAGACATCGCCATAACATTATACCGCAAATCTATAACTATATAAAATTGAATGCACCTTTCCATTAAAAAAATGATGAAATTAAAGGCCCCTTTTATTTCTTCCTATCCCTCTTTTTGGGGTTACAAATGACTGGTCCCTTATATAAGCCATTACCCTATCAAAGTCCGATTTTTTCCCATTCTTTTGTGTCTATCTTGAGAATATATAAAGAGAAATTCGAACAGCTAAAATAATCAGCAAGGCAAAATTTACATTAATGGACATACTAGAAATTCGTGTATTAACTTCTTATAGATTTTTTTTTTTTATGGTGTACAGAAATTGAGAAATATAATGCCTTCCCTTGTTAAAATGAGCAAAGAGCATGAAATAAAAGAATTATTTCTTAAATTTAATAATTTTATCCGTATGTTCATTATTGCAGACTCCGTATGTTTATTATTTTAGACCAATCGATTAAAACAAAACGTTGCAATTCATATATTTTGACATTTTTCCAACAATATCAGGTGTGATTTTTTACATCTTAAAACGAGGTACTAATATGCCAAGGTTTATCTCTTTTTAAATCTCAACCATTTTCCAAACGACAGCTAAAAATTTGAGCCTGATTAACTGTTACTCCGCAGAAGCAGATTGGAATCAGTTCTGACGTAGTGAGTAATCGCTTTAATCGTAATCATGTTCATTGACCATCAGGACGATGAATGCACATCATCATAATGATGTTTCGACATCATGATAATGATGTTCTGACATCATATAAAGATGTAAACTGAACCACACCATATAACGATGTTAGCACACAACATAAGGATAAGTTCACATCATATAAAGAAGTTTGCACATAATATAAAGACATCTGTACATGATATAAGATAATTTGCACATCATATAAGACCATTTGCACATCGTATAAGATAATTTGCACATCATATAATATAATTTGCACATCATATAATATAATTTGCACATCAGATAATGTCAAATTGTCATTATATAAAGGTGATTGCATATCGTATAAAGGTGATTGTACATCACATAATGCCGTTTCTACATCGTATAAGGAAAGCATCACATAATATAAGGACTCAATCACATAACAGAATGGGAAAAGCACATCATTTAATGAATTGTGGACATGATATAAAGATGTTTGCACCTCATATAAATATGTTTGGACAGCATATAAGGACAACTTCACATCATATAATGACAAGTGTACATCATATAAGGACAAGTTCACATCACATAATGACAAGTGTACATCATATAAGGATAAGTGCACATCATATAATGTCATTTGCACATCATATAAGGGTAAAATGACATCATATAATGGCAAATGAACATCATATAATGAGAAATGTCATAATAAGACAGTGTCGGCGTTCCATATTAAAACATCACCTTGTCTAACCCCTATAAATGATTTAAAACATGGGGTCATTTCATTATCAATTTTAACTCAGAGGTCACTTTTAACAAATCTTTCCAGAAATATTATTTGTTAATAGCTTATATCTGATACCTTCATGAATCACTTTATCTTTTAACATTAAAATAGAAGTCGTCCGAGACTGACCCGCATTTACCGCATTATATCAAGAGTTCATTAATTAGAACAATGGAAAGGTGGGCAGGTCGTGTTGCTCTTGTAACTGGTGCATCTGTTGGCATTGGTGCCGCTATTGTGCGACAGCTTGTTAAAAATGGGATGAAAGTTGTAGGCTGTTCAAGAAATATCGATAAAATTGAGGTATCGTATAAACATCTTTTATTTACACACAACATGTACACACATGTGTACAGTGTAGTTACAGCAAGCTGATATGTGGACGTATTATTATACATGTATGTAGATCTCGTGCTGGAAAAATTTCACACATGATCAAGTATTTCGATAATACACAGGCACCCACCCATGTTATAAAAACTACATTAGGTGATTTTTGTACATTATACACATGTATAGTCGTACATGTATGAGTGACGTGATAAAGATACACAATGTAATTGCTGTATATAAATTCCCCTCCTCCCCTGTAATATAAATTTATATCCAACCATAAAATTGACCAGCATGGATAAATGAAGTTTATGTAATTCGTAACCATGGAAACAGTATGATAGACTGTTTAATTAATGCAATTGTGTTAATATTTGATATTGACGGTAGCGAACTTATGTACGGAGGGTGTGGATGGGGTTTACAGAATAGAGATTAATATGCAAAAAAATAAAGAAAAAAGAAAAATGGGCAAAAAAATAAAGAATAGAGAATAATAATGGGGTGCTAGAAAATAAAGAATAGAGAATAATGGGGTGCTAAAATATAAAGAATAACTGCAAAAATTAAAGAATTTGGTAAAAATATACTGATTTATACATAAAAGAACGATGTCAATAATACAGTTATTAAGTAATTACAGAATAGCCATTATTTTTAAAGATACAGAACAATGAGCGAAAACAATTAGAGAATACAAGAAAATTAAGGACCCCCCATCCATACCCTAATGTAAGATACATTGAACTTCAATTGATATAGATACAGAAATACGATAACAGAGAAAAGAGGGATAGGTTGTGCATTCAAAGCATAGTTATTTTGTATAAAAAAAATAAACATCTTTAAAAAAGCTGTCTATTTAAAGAAGCAAAGTGCTTTATATCCATGATATCGGTTACTATTAAAAAAAATAGTTATTCGTTTTTCGTTTTTGTAGGATAACAAATATAGCTTGTTCAAGTTAAGCATTAACTAATTATTATCTCTTAGTTTAAACAGATAAAATCATCACATATTGATATAATACAATTGAAATATATACATGATATATTTAGGGTTCAGAAACAAGCAACAAATCTGTCTCCAGACCTATTACACAAATTATACACTTATTGAACAATACATAAATATAAATACTGACATGCTCTGCAATAAATGTATACATATGAAAAAGGTGAAAAATACAATAGAGAAAAAAGAGTAAACATGAATATTTGTAATGTTTACAGTGTGAAATGCTTTGGTTCTTATTGAATGATGAAGCAGCAACATCAAGGGTTAAAACGTTTGCTTATGATAATGTATTACTGCACCAAACTAAATACATGACTATTTTGCTCATCTGAGAGTACCGTTGAGCCAAAAAGCTAAATTTTTGTGTCAACTTGGACAGGAAGAACTGAAACAGAAGCTAATAGTTCATGTCTTAAATCAGTGTATATGGGACAAGATAACAGGAAGTGAGAATTTGTTTCTATAAATCACCACAACGGCAGGTTTGGGGAGTCTACTAAATTACGAAGGAATAGATGAGAATTCAATGAACTTGAATCCATTCATAAGCGAGCATGAAGAATTTGACCAAAGCGATAACCTACAAAGTAAAACATTGGTACCTTACTATTTGTGTGCGAATTTGTTTTTTTAATAATTTTTGAACAACATGTCGTGTCTTTGCATTGCTTCGTTTGTCATACTAAGTAATGTCAGATATCGTCAGTTTTATGTTTAATACTAGGTTCGTAACTGTTACATTGTATATTTATATATTAAACTGTAACAGTCCCAAGGGTTCACTTTGTCAAAAAAAATATTGTCATCTGGACTTGTCCATTCAGCAGTAAAACCCACACTAAACATAAAATTGCGTACATTTTGACTGTGCTGGATTTCTAAATACACAGCCACGTCCGGTCCGAATTTGCTCTTTTAATACGATATGCGTGAAAGGAGAGTGCCACACTCTAAGTTCATTGAATACCATTTCAAAGAAATAACCTGTTTCAAGGCATTATTTCTACCCCTATCGAAAATACAACAGTAGAAATTTTTCACCCTTCATCCCTGGTCATGCCACTATGCAAACCCTACCTATTTCATTTATTGTTATTATGTACACAGTATCTCCAATCTAATCCCCCCTTTTTTCTCCCCCCCTTTTTTTTTATCTTGGTCAATAGACAAACAAACGACACAAAACACCATAAAGAACATAAAGTCAATATCAATATATATAGGAATATTAGATAAATCAATCTATGATAAGAATTTGCTCCCTTGGCTTATTATCTTTCCTTATAATAAACGCCTCGGTGGTCTCGTAGTAGCGTGTTCGCCTCGAGTGCGGGAGGTCGTGGGTTCGAACCCCGGCCGGGTCACACCAAAGACTTGTAAATTGAAATTTGCTGCTTTTCTGCTAAGCACGCAGTATTAAGGAGTAAGAGCAAAAACTGGTCGGCTCTGAGTCAGAAATGTGTCCGGGTAAGGTGACATGTCTTTTTGTGGACTGTTGCCTTGTGAACTAGCACGTTAAAATCCGGCTCAGCTTGTCGGTCTAGTACAAATCAGGGTAAATATTCATATTACATTAACATGTTCTCATCCTGAATATGCATATTAATTTACCTCTGGACGTTAAGCAGCCATCCATCATCATCATCATATTTCCTTATAACGAAATCGCAAGTACATTCAACATTCAGCAATCATTTTATAAAGCCGACAAGTACTGAAAGCAAGCTCTGAAAAACCTAACCGGTTGATAATATGCAATCATACTTCCCAATACTCTAATATCGGTGGCTGCACGTAAGTTATATTTTACAGTAAACGTAATAAACAAAACAGGTACATGTAGTCTCGATCTTGTACAGTCCCATAACCAACATATAAGGAATGTCAATTAAAAAGTACAACAGGACCATTAAATATTCTAACTATAAATAGATTACATATTTGTTTTTTATTCAGGCACTTAAAACGGAATTATCATCTGCCAAAGGTAAGGTAATACCTGTGAGATGTGACCTGAAAAATGAACAAGATATTATGGATATGTTTACCATGATCAAACGAGATCTAGGTGGTGTAGATGTTTGTGTCAACAATGCTGGATTAGCACATGCTGCTCCACTACTGAGTGGGGAAACAAAAGATTGGAGAGAAATGGTGGATGTAAGTTTTATGGGAAACTAGTTTGAAATCTTTCATCTTTGGTTTATTGAACATAATTAATGGCGGTGTTGAAGAACTTTCCTATTTGATTTTTTTTCTAAATGTTATTTTCTTATACTAGTGTTGTTTAAAATAGTTCCAGAGTTAAAAACTCGATAATATTAGGTTCACTGTCAAAAATAGTTTAAGATTTCCATGTCAATTTTAGATGTGTACTTCAATATATATGTGTATACAACGGTATAAAAAAATATAATTTACAGGTCTTGGTATACACGCTGTACCTTCCAAATACTTCCAAGAGAACTTTTAAAAAATAATAAGATTTCAATAATCCGTGTTAAAAAAAAAGTAGGAATCCTAGTTGTCTCCCTTTCTAGTTTGTTTTAAATGTGCATATCTTAAGAAGTTAAAACAGTTTCTTTGGGATTGTTCTTTTTTCTCAAGCATCGAAATGAAATTTATTACATTGAATTGCGGTTTCATAAAATTTCAGGTAAATATCATTGGGTTGACAATTTGCACAAGAGAGGCTGTCAAACAAATGAGAGAAAAGGGTGCAAATGATGGACATGTATTTCTGCTGAACAGGTATGTCTAAATATATACCACTAACTCCTTTGAACTATTCACACAGCGGATATGTTGAATACATGGATATATATATATATCAAAATTAAAACAATTGTATTTTGATAACAGTTATAGTAAGCAGAGGCATTGCTGATCAAAATATGTATTATCTTTTTAGTATGTCTGGTCATCGAGTAATCCCTTCACCTAATGGTCATTTTTATTCAGCTACCAAATTTGCTGTGACTGCTCTTGGAGATGGTATCAGAAACGAACTGCGAGAAATGAAATCACAAATAAGAATCACGGTAATTCAACTAAATAGAGAGTTTTATTAACAAAATATGCAAAGGTTGTTTTTGTAAACATTTAATACATATAGTATTGGTGTTAGTAACTAAACGTTGTTATGTATCAAACACATTTATTTACTGACTGAAGTGCCTAATGACCTACCGAAACCTCTATCAGGCATACAAACAATGTGATTTTTTAGTTTTTTTGTATGTTATTCCGCTTTTTTATCATGAATGTATATCATGTATATAAATATATGTGATATTGTGCCACTGATTTCAGCATACATGTAGTTACTACTAACTTTTATCATACTAAAGCATTGATTTTTTTAAGTTATTATTGTAATAATCTTTTAGTACATGTAGCTATTTTCCCTATCTTTCTACTTAGGCGAAATTAGTAGGCCATATTTGGTCATTTTTAAATATATTACGTGATTAGAAACTTTGACGTAAATAACTGCTAATGTACAATTCAAACTGCTGACAATAGAATACAATCGATCTAAGACCGAAACAATGTACACTAATTTCTGGTAAACTGGTTTGCCTCCTTTTAATCGAGTACTTTTTATACCCATGTTTCAAAGGACAGAGGAGAACATTGGCATATTGAAATCTGGAAGTAGATCTGCGAGGAATATAGTAGAAATTGCGAACTCGAATGACATCATACCATAAATATCCTACCACAATTAACAAAAACGGCATCTTTCATAGCTTTGAACTCCCAAGACAGTAATTTGTAGCATCCAAAATCATAGGCGGACCCAGGGGGAGGGGGAGGGGAGTGGGGGCTCGGGGCCCAGGCCCCCCGCTCATGGGAAAAATTTGGTTGATTATATAGGGAATCTCTGAAGCATGACAGTAGTGGGCCCCCCTTATAAAAAATTCTGGATCCGCCACAGAAAATCATGCGACACGTTCTATTTCAGATTTTTAAACATCTTTCTGAGATAACATTCATCAGGTGTGAATACAAACAGAGACTATCAAATATCTGCTATCTATACCAAATTCCCTAAGCTGACAATTTGTTTTATTAAGATATGAATAAAGGCAACACTGACGATGACGACGATACCTAACAGACTTGTATCTGTATTTGAAATGTAGGTGCATTAAATTTTGATATGAAGGAAATGAGATGTTGAGCATGTATCTGTCAAAAAGACAGTAAGCAAATTACAAAATAAATCCCACTCGTTTTCTTCCAATTTTGTCCAATTTGACAAGAATCAATCAAAACAAGTATGAAAGAGGGGCGAAAGATACCAAAGGGACATTCAAACTCATAAGTTGAAAATAGACTGACAACGCCATGGCTAAAAAAGAAAAAGACCAACAGACAAAATATAGTACACAAAACACAACATAGAAAACTAAAGACTGAGCAACAGGAATCCCACCAAAAATGGGGGTGATCTCATGTGGTCCGGAAGAATAAGAAGATCTTGCTCCACATATACTAAGGTGGGACTCAGAGAAATTTCAAGACTACTTCACATCACTGTATGGACTTGTTTTGATATAACAATTTTAGATATGATTTAAAGATAGTTCAATGATAGTTCTTCAATTTGTTACAGTCGATCAGCCCAGGGCTTGTTGAAACAGAGTTCGCCTACAGGATGCAGAAAAATGATGAAAAAGCTAAGGCGTTATATGAAAGTATTAAGGTATTGGTACAACCGTATTAACATTTAAAAGTACTAGTATACGTTTTTCATACACCATGGGTAGTTGTCTCATTGGCAATTATTCCACATCTCCCTATTTTTATATTTCGGCTACTTGGTATATATTAAACAAAGGTATTTGTGTGTATGCTTTCCAAACTCGTTCTATTGACCTTATATACGGATTGTCAATCTTTTGCATAGTGAAAACGCTTTCCTCCTTCATCGGATTTGACTGTTATCTGACACCAATTGAATTGATAATTGCTACAACAGTAGACGTGCGTTACAGAAACACAGTTTAGATTACCGTAAATTGCTATGGAATCCTGTTTAAAAAAAAAGAATAATGCATTTTATGACAACTAACACATCAGTATTTATATGCAATCTTCTTTTCATGCATTGTGTGTCAGGTATATTATGTAAACTTTTGAACGCCTTCATTTACATGAAATACATCCTTTTATTAAGTACATTATTTTAAGAATATTTTACTTTGTCAATAATCTACAAAATCCTTTACCCAATTTTAAATTGAAAAAAATACCTCTTGTTATTTGTTATCATCTGACAAAACATTGCTGTGTTTATCTTTAATTTACCTTTACACAAAATATTTAATATAACTGATAGAAGTTAAATTTGTATTTAATAAACGTAAGTAAATTTAAAATCCAAGTATATGTACTTTGACTTCATACTCCTTTGCAGTGTCTCCAAGCCGATGATATAGCTGATGCGTTAGTCTATGCTTTAGGTGCTCCAGCGCATGCTCAGGTTAGTTGTCTATGCTTTAAGTGATCCAGTTCATGTTCAAATTAGTAGTTATTACGTGTTTTTGAAACGTTTTAATTATCTAATCAAAGGAAGTCGACTATATTTAAAATCAAGGCGAGACAAAAATTAGGTTATCATATACTAGTATACTAGTACTTATTTATATAATGTTATGATGCTTCGTCAAAATATCAATACACGAAAAAGATTAAAGATTGTTGCTGCGTCTGATATTATTGATCCTTTTTGTTCTCTTGTCATCTTTTTGTATAAGTGAGCAAATAGGAAAGATTACCTTATAACTTTGTTCCGATGTGATGTCCTTGTAATTACTTTGTATAGTCTGCATTAATTCAGTATTACCTCTTAACGCACCTTACATGTATCATGATTTTTACACCCACTGACCTTGCAAGGAAAACAAGACAACAGCTTAATAATATTGTAATGTTGTCATAACTTTATATTTGTTTTACTGCATTTTCCATTCAAACAAGGTCACATTTTCTAGACCAAGGTCATATTTTTAACAACCATTGGAATGACATCCATGCTTCATCTCTATCGTGCCTCCTTTCTTATTATTCTCGTGTTTTTTTTTAAATAACCGTTTTCCACTGCTCATGCACGTTGTATTACACTGATGGTTAATATTACCTAGGAAAAACTTATGAAAAGTTCGTCACGTAGAGATCGCATAATTAGCGAGTTGTTCTTCACATACTTTAACGGTAAATTGATCCTTTTGCATAACAAATTTCATGAAAATTGTACGTGTACACATTTGTAGTAATGTAATGTTGATCAATATTTAAATGATATTTGAGAAGGGATGTAAAGTGAGAAGGAACATTGTTTATGTCGGTTGAATACGAGGGCAGTGTACCAATGTCGATTCTAAAATTCGAACCGAGATCAGAATGATACATAGACAAGGTATAAACATCTCATGTTCTAATAGCATCACCAATAATTGAATACGATGTCCTTTGTGCGAGACCGGATGCGTCGACAGTGTAAGGATCTTATGTGCTGCAGGTAATATCGAATGCACGATTGTGGTGATATGCGATGTATGAAAAAGTGTCTTGTAGGTTCAGACACATGGTGTAAAGATCAACCAATGTGTGATGGCAACCAAATACATTTTGATGATTTCAGTCGTTCTTTGGAATATGCCTGCATGTTCTGAGGTAGCGTTCGATATGCAGTTTTGCAAATATTTTGTAAAGTTAAATTCGCATCTTTTTGAGAGTAAGTACACCCATAGTCTGTTTTGGTTTTCACATGATATGACGATGTTTTGGGTGTTTTGGATGTTACTTTTTGTGTTTTCTTTCCTTTTATATTGCTGTGTTATGATTATTAATTTGTGTGTCTATAAAAGGACAACAACGTATTCATAGATATGATATTTTTTTTATGTGTAAATGTTTCTAAGAATGCTCGATCTAATAAATGATGAATTGTACAAAGCTGTTAAGTAACACAAACAGACCCAGACAATCAAACCGATTTCTCCGCTCTCTTCTAGTTCATTGTTTATACCAACGATAAAACTAATAATCATTATTTACGGTGACAAACAAATGCATGTCCTCTGACTTTGTCAACGCATCCAGTCTCGCTTCTTTTGGAGTTCAAGCGATTCCCATAGTTTCAATTTGTGACCTTGATTTGTATCCTCATTATGTATTTATAAGATTTGAATGTTTGTAAACTTATGTTGCATCGAATATAGATGTACCTCTGTTCAGTTAAATAAAAACTAGTGTTTAAACTTACCAATTGTTTAAGTTTACAACAAAACACCTATGATGTTGAAGTAGGTAATACACGCGTACGGAGTACTATTGAAATTGAAAATCACGATTTAATAAATTAGGAAATGAGAGAACAATTTGTATATATATTATGTTATATGTTCTTCATTTTTTACAGGTACACGACATTTTGATACGCCCAACAGACCAAGTCAGCTGATATGTTTCTAACATTTTTTATGATATAATTTCCATATGAATTTTTATTTTCATTATTATCTTGCTCTTGCCAATGTATTCCTTTTTAGCTCACCTGGCCCGAAGGGCCAAGTGAGCTTTTCTCATCACTTGGCGTCCGTCGTCCGTCGTCCGGCGTCGTCCGGCGTCGTCCGTCGTCGGCGTTAACTTTTTACATTTTGAACTTCTTCTAGAGAACCACTGAATGGAATGAAACCAAACATGGCATGAATGTTCCTTATGAGGTGCTGACCAAGTGTTGTTACTTTGTAGCCGATCCATCATCCAAGATGGCCGCCAGTGGGGGACTTAGTTTAACATAGGACCCTATGGGAAATGCATACAAATGACTTCTTTTAGAGAACCACTAAATGGAATGAAACCAAACATGGCATGAATGTTCCTTATGAGGTGCTCACCAAGTGTTGTTACTTTGTTGCCGATCCATCATCCAAGATGGCCGCCAGCCGGGGACTTAGTTTAACATAGGACCCTATGGGAAATGCATACAAATGACTTCTTTTAGAGAACCACTGAATGGAAAAAAACCAAACATGGCATGAATGTTCCTTATGAGGTGCTGACCATGTGTTGTTACTTTGTAGCCGATCCATCATCCAAGATGGCCGCCATCGGGGAACTTAGTTTAACATAGGACCCTATGGGAAATACATACAAATGTCTTCTTTTAGAGAACCACTGAATGGAATGAAACCAAACATGGCATGAATTTTCCTTATGAGGTGCTGACCAAGTGTTGTTACTTTGTAGCCGATCCATCATCCAAGATGGCCTCCAGCGGGGGACTTAGTTTAACATAGGACCCTTTGGGAAATACATAAAAATGTCTTCTTTTAGAGAACCACTGAATGGAATGAAACCAAACATGGCATGAATGTTCCTTATGAGATGCTGACCAAGTGTTGTTACTTTGCAGTCGGTCCATCATCCAAGATGGCCACCAGCAGGGGACTTAGTTTAACATAGGACCCTATGGGAAATACATACAAATGTCTTCTTTTAGAGAACCACTGAATGGAATGAAACCAAACATGGCATGAATGTCCCTTATGAGGTTCTGACCAAGTGTTGTTACTTTGTAGCCGATCCATCATCCAAGATGGCCGCCAGCGGGGGACTTAGTTTAACATAGGACCCTATGGGAAATACATACAAATGTCTTCTTTTAGAGAACCACTGAATGGAATGAAACCAAACATGGCATGAATGTTCCTTATGAGGTGCTGACCAAGTGTTGTTACTTTGCAGTCGGTCCATCATCCAAGATGGCCGACAGCAGGGGACTTAGTTTAACAAAGGACCTATGGGAAATACATACAAATGTCTTCTTTTAGGGAACCACTGAATGGAATGAAACCAAACATGGCATGAATGTTGCTTATGAGGTACTGACCAAGTGTTGTTACTTTGCAGTCGGTCCATCATCCAAGATGGCCGACAGCAGGGGACTTAGTTTAACAAAGGACCTAATAATTGGGAAATACATACAAATGTCATCTTTTAGAGAACCACTGAATGGAATGAAACCAAACATGGCATGAATCTTCCTTATGAGATGCTGACCAAGTGTTGTTACTTTGTAGCCGATCCATCATCCAAGATGGCCGATAGCGGGGGACTTAGTTTAACATAGGACCCTATGGGAAATACATACAATTGTCTTCTTTTAGAGAACCACTGAATGGAATTGAACCAAACATGGCATGAATGTTCCTTATGAGTTGCTGACCAAGTGTTGTTACTTTGCAGTCGATCCATCATCCAAGATGGCCGCTAGGGTGGGGGGGGGGGGGCTTAGTTTAACATAGGACCCTATGGGAAATACATACAAATGTCTTCTTTTAGAGTACCACTGAATGGAATGAAACCAAACATGGCATGAATGTTCCTTATGAAGTGCTCACCAAGTGTTGCTACTTTGTTGCCGATTTACTGTTCAAGATGGCCACCAGGATATTTTATTAAATAACGGGACCAATATTAATCAAAATTTGGCCTCAATCATTATTTGGGTATCTGTTATGATTTTTATCTATCTTTACATGATTTCTAAAACCAAAGTAGAGTCAGGTGAGCGACACAGGCTCTTGAGAGCCTCTAGTTTAGTAATATGCTAATATTTAAATCGCTTAGTAAAGTGAACAAAATAAATTTAGAATATGCAATTATATTTAACATCATAGTAGTTATTGTTATTTGTTGTAAAAAAGGAGAATAGGATGTCACTTTTGTTTCTACTGGAAATAAGCATATGAAGATGGAGCGATTTCATAAATAAATATCTTATTATTATTGTTAATTGCGCTTTTCGTAAAATATCTTTCTTCTAATGTGTATTGTTGTTAATGTCAATTTATGACAGGAGAATAATTTTTAAACAGAAGTAGCTAAATATGATTTTAAAATATCATAAACTTGTATAGGAATGAATGCTTGAGAAAGACCACAAATAAACAAAATATTAAACGAGTTATTGGAGAAACGCTTTCAACGAAATTCTTTTTTTGTGTACGAAACATGTACGAAATTGATTTAATTGACCTGGTTTTAACCAATACATTGGACCAAAACCAACCTATGTAAAATAATTCGATCCTTGTGGCCACAGATTTCTAGATGTTGAATGAGTTTTTAGCTGGCGTTATTGACCGACAAATGGATTTTGGGAATTTTTTTGTTTTGATAAATTTCTTGTTAACTCACATATATGGTTTTTTGTCGAGCCTGCGACTTTTGTCGCAGAAAGCTCGACATAGGGATAGTGATCCGGCGGCGGCGGCGGCAGCGGCGGCGTTAGCTAACTTCTTAAAAGCTTTATATTTTAGAAGGTGGAAGGTCTGGATGCTTCATACTTTGTATATGGATGCCTCATGTTACGAAGTTTCTGTCAGTCACATGTCCAATGTCCTTGACCTCATTTTCATGGTTCAGTGACTACTTGAAAAAAAAGTTAAGATTTTTTGTAATGTTAAATTCTCTCTTATTATAAGTAATAGGATAACTATATTTGGTATGTGCGTACCTTGCAAGGTCCTCATGCCCGTCAGACAGTTTTCACTTGACCTCGACCTCATTTCATGGATCAGTGAACAAGGTTAAGTTTTGGTGGTCTAGTCCATATCTCAGATACTATAAGCAATAGGTCTAGTATATTCGGTGTATGGAAGGACTGTAAGGTGTACATGTCCAACTGGCAGGTGTCATCTGACCTTGACCTCATTTTCATGGTTCAGTGGTTATAGTTAAGTTTTTGTGTTTTGGTCTGTTTTTCTTATACTGTATGCAATAGGTCTACTATATTTGGTGTATGGAATGATTGTAAGGTGTACATGTCTAGCTGGCAGGTGTCATCTGACCTTGACCTCATTTTCATGGTTCAGTGGACAAAGTTAAGTTTTTGAGTTTTGGTCTTTTTTTCTAATACTATATGCAATAGTTCAACTATATTTGGTGTATGGAAATATTTATGCTCTATTTGTCAGTCACGCAGGTTTTTTTTTACCTTGACCTCATTTTCAAGGTTCATTGCTCAGTGTTAAGTTTTTGTGTTTTGGTCTGTTTTTCTTAAACTATAAGCAATAGGTCAACTATGTTTGTTGTATGGAAGAATTGTTAGCTGTACATGCCTGCCTAGCATGGTTCATCTGACCTTGACCTCATTTTCATGGTTCATTGGTCAATGTTTAGTTTATTTGGCTAATGTTAAGTTTATGTGACAGTTGTAATAAAGCTTTATATTTAGGACTATCAACATAATATCAATGATTAGTAAAGAAGGCGAGACATTTCAGCGTGTGCACTCTTGTTTTGGATTAGTTCTGGTAACTGTTGATAAATTTTGTTATATGTTGGATAAGTATTGAGTATACGAACATCAGCAAGAACAACACCAATTACATTCAAATGTTGGTCTTAAACTTTAAAAAAGAATGTAAATTTCATTGATTTATTGATGATATCCTGTCACTCAATAGCCCCCATTTCAATGAGTGCTTAGCTTACATCTCATATATCACGTTGAACTTGAGATTAAGGATTATACCGAAAGTAGAATGTTTGCTTATATCTTGATATTTGCCTCCATATTGACACATAAGACGCCTTCATACTAGCATCTATGACTCCCAAAAAACTCATCGACTATATCAGACGCACGTTTCGTCTGCCTAAGACTAATCAGTGGCCCTCAAATGAAAACTTTTTGAAAACCATATCAACTGGAAGTTTAAGGTTGTTAAAACAATAATTCAATAATGTTGTGCCAAATTATAAGCATAGGCAATCAACACCTGGGTGTAGATAAACCTATACGGGTTCGAATATTTTAACATTTTATAAACAGTTAATTTGCAAAAAATAAACATGTCAATAATATTTCATGTTAACACAAAAGTACTGACTATCGGGCTAGTGATACCCTCGGCGACGTAACGTGTACCAGCAGTTGCACGATCCAGTGGATGCAAAACTCATCAAATATACCAAACTCAAAATTCTGTACTCCCGATTATCGTTTTTTTCCACATTAGACAATCCATTTAACTTTGAATTGTTCCAAATACTAAGGATTTCTACCATAGGAATATATTACCTTAGCTGTATTTGGCCGTAAATGAACTTCAACTTTGTACCTTATTGGTCTTTAAACTTTATTCATTCGAGCGTCACTATATAGATGATGTTCTCTCACTAAATAATACAAAATTTGGTGACTATGTTGAACGAATCTATCCCATCGAACTAGAGATAAAGGATACTACATATACAGTTAAGTCTGCCTCATATCTTGACTTACATCTAGAAATTGACAATGAGGGTCGGTTGAAAACAAAACTTTACGACAAAAGAGATGATTTCAGCTTCCCAATTGTGAACTTTCCATTTCTATGTAGCAACAATCCAGCAGCGCCTGCATACGGAGTATATATCTCCCAATTGATACGATATTCCCGGGCTTGTATTTCCTATCATGATTTCCTTGATAGAGGATTGCTGCTCACAAGGAAGCTATTAAACCCAAATGGTGAAGTTGAAATCATCGTAAATTTTACGGACGCCATCACGAGTTGGTTGACTGTTATGGAATAACCGTTTCACAGATGATATCGGATATGTTCCTTATGTCGTAACTACAATACCCTTCCCTTTTCACGAACGTGACCTACTGAATTAGACTATTTACCGGATTTGTAATAACATAAGCAACACGAAGGGTGCCACATGTGGAGCAGGATCTGCTTACCCTTCCGGAGCACCTGAGATCACCCCCAGTTTTTGGTGGGGTTCGTGTTGCTTAGTCTTTAGTTTTCTATGTTTTGTCATCTGTACTATTATTTGTCTGTTTGTCTATTTATTTTTGGCCGTGGCGTTGTCAGTTTGTTGTCGATCTATGAGTATGACTGTCCCTCTGGTATCTTTCGTCCCTCTTTTAATGAGTCATTTGATTACTTTATTGCGGATAGCTATGAAATGTTTGTATCTCTTTTTCTGTGAGTCGATTATTGATTTTCTGTCAAAATCAAAACGAGTGATGAGTTCATGGTTGAACAACCGAGTGTTGACTAATTTTAAAAAAGGGAAAAGTAAGAGAATCCTGAAAAAATGAACAAGATGTACGGTGTCGGACCGATATAATTCAATCGCAATATGTTTTTGCAAATAATTTTTTTGGCATCATTTAATTTCCCAGCGGACACCCTGTTACAGTTTTTCCCTATCTATGATACATGTAGTTTCCGCCAACCCATTTTCATGAACGATCTTTTTCCGAGATTACCCCTTTCTTGGCTATATTGTGGCGAATTTTCTCCGCGATATTTTAACTTGTTTTTATATAAGAACCAAATAATACATATTCGCGACTATTTAATTTCACGTTATTTATGATTCGCGAAAACCACAGAAATAAACCGCTCGAAATATAAGTTCGTTTTCAGGTACAAAACAAATAGATTTTGCACAAGGTAAACTTTAAAGAATAGTCATAATTTCAAATGGACTACACATTATTTGCTATTTATTCTGCACTCAAATGTAATCTATTGAAATGCCTCTTTCATTGATAAGACCAAATACGTGTTAAATATTTTCCACCGTTTTGTTAAGTTACCAATTAATCAAACTAAAAATCACACTCAAAAGTAGCATAAACTCATCAAAGATTCCAAGCTGATAATTTGGTATACAAGACGCACGTTTCGTCTACATTAAACTTATTAGTGGCACTCGAATCAAAACAGATTGATAGCCTAATCAAATACAAAGTTGAACAGAAGGAATAACCGAAACGTCTTTTGCCAAATACGGAAAAGGCAATTGATACCCGAAGGACGAAAAAACTTAGTGTTTTGAATATTTCTACATTTTTATAAACAGTAAATTTACCGAAAATTAAGATATCGATGAAATTAATGTCAAAACAAAAGTGTACAAAAGTGCTGACTACAGCTAGAGCTGATGATACCCTCGGGGAGTTTACAACTAAACCAGTTCATAGTTTTGTGTTTTCAAAATAAAACAGACATTTTTAAAATAAGTGCTTTTTCCTTGGTGATTATAAGACTTCAATTACCTTAAAGTTTCTTAGGAAATGTAAAAAGTACCACCATTGCCGCCATACTCGAAATGTCTTTTAGAAAAAAGATTAAAACACACAAAGAAAGAAAAACAAGAAGGTAAAAAATACAAAAACAAAAACAAAAAGATATAAATAAACAAAAAAAGAACATGTTTGGTATAAGCTATTTTATATTTTTTCTGGAGCTCACTAGGGGGTTGTTAACAT